TCCTAACATCTTCAAACATGTGATAGCATGGCATAGACACTGTGAATGTGGCAGCTGAGCTCTCACTCTCCGCAGAAAAAAAATTTCCTTCCTGTAGTTTTATCCTTAGGACATAAACTCAGGGATTATGCTCTGACCTGAGATTTGGCTCATCTATTACGGATATTCTGAATGCTCTGTCAGCAGTGTGGAAATGGACAAATTTCTGTTTTCTGAACTTAATGGGAATCACATTGAGTAGATTTGTGCAATAAGAAAGATTATAAAAATTATGCTCCATGTGAGCAGTGGGTTGTGTCACATACAAATCTGACTTGAAATATTTGTAATAACTTGAAAAAAGCTGTCATTTGATATTTTAAAACATATTTAATCTCTCTTAGCCGGAGAAACCAATTCTGTTATTTTCACGTTTGTTTTTACTCTCTGCTGTGCAAACGTGGGACTTGCAACTCTGACATTGCTCAGCAGCTTTACAGCCATGTTTCTGCTTCATTATCCACAAAGATTGCACACCACAAATCTCTACAAGCAGTAAGTTGAGGTGATTATTTTACAAAATGTGGTGAGTAAAACAAAACCAAGATTTGTATTAAATTCCTCTCTGAGACACTGAGAACATAAATAAGACAGAGGTTATTTGCAGTGCTGGACGCAGTATTTCGCTGCATACTTCCATTTCCAGAGTTCTTTTCTTTTGTAAATTGCTGCTAAAGATATGTGTACTGCTCATACCAGACAGTTCAAAATTTATTTTAAAACCTAAATCCCTGGAACTGGACAAAGTAATGAGAAATTTTTATGAACTCATGTTAAAAACTGTGCTTGTTTTGTGTGGTGGAAAATGCTTCCAACGTGGGCTCCCCCTCATGCATTCAATGTGGATTTAGTACTTTCTGAGCCAAATTTGGCCATCACTTAACGGCTTCATAGTCCTGAGCGCTGAAAACAGGGGCTACCACAGGGTAACTGAGAGCAAGGATTCGTCATTTGTGCACAGCGAGTGTGGTTAACTCCTCATCAACACAGAGGGATTAACCCCAATTAATAAAGGTTCATTTTGCTTTTGAATTACCGCTACAGATTATCTAATGGTATTTATTTAACCCTTATCATAGCAGGAAAGAGCCTTTCATCTGATGTTACAGTTGAACAGCTGAATTCTCCCTCGCTTTCCAAAATCTCTGCAAGATGTTTGCCACCCAACAGCTCTGACTCCCTACATGTTTCAACACTTCCTTTGCTTTCCTCACACCCTCCATAGGAATATTTTTGTTTAGAGAAAAGGACCATGTAACCTGCCTCCTTAGCAGTCTCCCCTGGATGGAGGGAGGAGCTGGTCTGTCAATGACTGGTCTGTCAATGACTCCATCTGCTCCCTGTGACACAGGTGAAAAGTGACAATGCACTGTGTTTTGGAGAGGGCCAACGCTGCAACCATGGCAGCCTTTTACAGAAGGTATGCACAGATTCACACAAGACATGTTTATGTGAACTGAGAAATTGTCCTCTTGCCAAAGATCATCCCTGGAAGTGCTCAAGTGTAGGCTGGATGTGGCTCTGAGAAACCTGGTCTAGTGGAACGTGTCCCTGCCCATGGCAGAGGTGTTGGAATGAGATCATCTTTAACGCCACTCCCAAACTTAAGCATTATAGGATATTCTGGGCATCTGAACCCTTGGAGATGCAGAAAGCAAACCTTGATCACCAGCCCTTGATCATGCAACTCAAGACTGAAATCAGAACAGGAGATGTGTGAAGGTGGATGCAAAGATGGCACAGGGCTGCCTTGTTCTCTCTTTGTTGTCATGTACACAGCCACTTCTCAATCAGCCATGGTCATGATCTCATCTATTGTGTGGATAAGAGCTCCAAAATAGAACCCTGTGATCAAAATGTCCAGGAACATGAGGTCATGACATCAAAAGGCCAGTTCCGTGATGAAAATTTGGCTTTCAGGCGCCACTGGCTTCAAAGCTCAGTTCTAAAACAAAGGAGAAATCTATATTTGGGGACATTCATGCAAAGCATTACCACTCATTGTTCATCAGAGGTGCCAAAGCAGCTAGAGATTACCATAAACAAACAAACAAACAAACAAAAACCTCAAAGGGACAAGAAAAAAAAGGAAAGGAAAGAAAATGATCCAGCTCATGAATGTAACGTGCTGCAGGAAAAAAAGACTCCCCCCCACCCCTACCCCCCTGTTAGAGATTAGCCAAACCATTAAATTAGGGAAGTCATTGCTGGACTCTGCAGTCACCTGCCCAGAACTGCAGGGACCCACAGTGGTAGCAAGTGGCCAACTTTCCCGGGAAAGTTTTTTGTTATCCTCATATTGCTTGGTTTTTTTACACCACATCTGTGCTTGCTTCGTCATTCTGCCATCTGCTGTAACAAAATACAGACAAAGCATTTCAGAGAACAACCCCTCCACACTTTAAAATGCTCCAAGCTGGAGCACAGCCTTTTAACTTCTTACAAGCTCTAGTGCTTTTTATCTGATTCTACTCCTCTTCCTCCTCTTCCTCCTCCTGCCCATATCCATGATGAACTACACATGCTTAGCAAGCACGGAGAGCACAGAATACCATTGCTTTTGCCACAATGTTTCTATTAAATGAAACAAATGTTCCTGTGCTTGACTTCACTGCACAAACGTTTGCATTTGCCAAGAGGTCAGAGATAGCCGGTCATTATCATGAAATTTTTAATTTTGAAACTCCCAATCAGGCTTGTTTCCTGTTTAGTATTGTCTGCAGATACACAATGCAAAAGCCTCGGGTTGCTAAAGAATTGAAATAACAGAGTATGAGCAGAGTGGTTTTGAGCACACACTCTGTAAAGTCCAGTCAAAGTTTCTTCCTGGTGCAGCCGCACAAATCTCTTGGTAGCAGTAAACTCTCTGCACAGACTTCATTCCTGAACACATGTTCAAAGGTGATAAAATAAATGCAGATGGTTTTCCAAAACCTCAGTGGAGCATTTTTTGCTGTTACTAAATGGATTGGAAAAAAACTAGTGGGAAAAAGCAGAGAAAATACATTTTGACACAGACAGGCAATTTCAGAATAGCATTTGGTCATTTGGGAGAAAATCTAAATATAATGTGTGTTTATAATGATCTATTGGCAAAACAATATTGACAGAGCATCTGAGCTGCCTAATGGAAGTGATTTTTAGAATCCTTAAATTAAACTGGCGTTGAGAGCTGAATATTTTGTTTAATTACTTAACACAAACAAAAAAAAAAGTTGGATATGAATTTTGAATTCATTGTGCCATGACCAAAGTCGGCAATAAAACCGTCCCTGGCTACAGTGAAAAGAGAATTAGACCTTAACAAATTTATTACAGCCTTTGTTTACAAACTCGTTACAAAATTATACAGCATCTTATGCATATACAGGATTTACAGGAAAGTGTTACTGATGTGTGGGATTGCTTTGCTCCCTGGTCGAGATCTGCAGGTTTTTCTTCAGTTGGGGCCTGATCCAGATTCCACCAGAGAAGGTGAGATTTTTATTTTTTTTTTCCCCCATTGACTTTAGTGGAAGCTGGATCAGATCCAGAGGGTAACACTTCCACTCATTGTTTTCCTGGGATGGGAAAGGGGCAGCCAGTCTAATAACTGTACACACCACACTCTGTTCTCATCTCATGTGTTTCAGATGACAGGCATATTTACTCTGAGATATTTTTGCTGGCTGCTTGTAAAATACTTGTTAAAGTCAAGAGTCAAAGACCAGTTCCTGTTACTGGATTTACAGTGGAAAATGACAAATGGCTTTCTTTGAACCCTTAAGGAATGAACCTCCCTTGATTTTCAGTGAGCATAAAAAAAAAGGCATTAGAATCAACTCTGATGTTGTCTATATTGTTATAGAGCTATGTTTTCTTTCTTGTCTTCAACAGATCTTCTCTGGATTTACAGTAACAAAATCTGGAGAAATGGATTTATGTAAACAAAAGTGACATCCACACTGCCAAACAAGGCAGTTTCTGATTAATGGGATTGGTCTCCTTACCTCCTCTTCTCACGTGGAGATAGGCCTATGTGGCACAGTGAAACAAGGAGATCTCTAAAGTTAGTGATCCATAACTATATAAGCTCTCAATTGCTCCCAGCATCTGCAAATGATCTTTATTTGGGAACTCAGGGTGTAAAATCAAGCTTTTAATTTACAAAAAAATCCAGTGTGGCAGAACTCTGAAAAATATGCTTATTCCCCCAAGCCAAAATGGTTAGTTAAAACTTAAACTTTCCTACTGGGAAAAAGTAGCAAAAGCTCTGTGGGGTTGGGGCTTTTTTCTTTTTAACATTTTTGCCAAGAAATGAGAAATATTCTAATCAGATCTATCAGATACTGACTTCCTTGTTATATTACATCCTCTCATTTTAATGACTGCCTTGTTATTGAACCTCTGAAGTGGTTATTGCTGGAAGCAAAGTTAGGATTTAGTGCTGAAAGTGATGATATTTCCTGTGAGGTAAATACCCTGGCCTCATGCTGAAAATGAGATGGTTCTCAAAAGCTTTTGAGATGGTTCTCAAAAGCTTTGCTTCTGGCCTCCCCTGAAGAAAATACCCACGTGCTCTAACCTGGCTTTCCAGGACAGGACTGTTCCATTGCTTGGCCTCAAGGCAACCTGTCCAGCTCCCTGATGGTTTTATGGTGTGCAGTGCTCTCTGTAAGGGATTAGGGGATACCCCACAGTTTGCTGCCTTTCATGGCCTGTTGCATGTTTGAAGCTGGTTTCGAGGGGTGAAAGCTGCATGAGCAAAGGCATCCTGCAGCCTCATGTTTGAGGGCTCTGATCTCATTTCCATTTGTGATGCTGAACACGCTAAGGCAGCAGAGGCTATAGCTGTAAACCCCTCAGAAAATAAATGAGGGTAAAACTTTCTGAATAGCTGGTATTTCCCAGCCCTAGCTGTGGGTTAGATCTATCTGGACATGGATAACATGCGGCTCAATCTGAATTCTGTTCCTAGACATGAACTCTCATTTGCTTCCTGGGAGTGGGATCCCAACCAGGGCATTGCACAGCTAACGTGTAATGGGACATCTCTTCAAGTAGTGTCATTATTCCTGTCATCAGTGGAGCTACATGACAATCCACAGAAGACTCTGAGGTAAATACACGCTAGCACATTTGTTTCTCCTAAGCAACAACTCATATGTTTAATTGGGGAGCTTCAGTATAACTATAGACTTCATGGATTTTAGCCACCATCCATTTCACGTTCCTGTGAAAGGTACCAGGTTTCTCAAGCAGTTCAACACCTTTTTTTCCCCCTGTGAAAGATGAAGAATGGATCGCTGAGGAGAAGGAAACCTTCGTACGGGCTTGTGGCTTTGATATCCATGCCAGGATATTGCATCTTTCTTTACTACAATGTGCAAGCCAATGACTCTTTTAAGGTTAAGACACTCCCAGCTTTGTTTCTAATTTAAAAACTCAGAGAGGAATGATCCAACAATGCAAGCAGAAGATAATTGATTCATGTGAGGAGGAAGAGGCTGATCACAACAAACCATCTTTTATGTATTATATTAATGATCCATTTAGATCAGTTCTTGACTTCAGCAAGTTTTGGCTACAAATATTTCAGATTTTTTTCATATTTTTTCAATGATGCATTAGAAACAGTTGCAAAACAAATGTGCTTCCTAAACACAAATGGATGTTCCTGGATTATTAGCAGCCATTCTCAATTGCTATCAGAGGGAAAATGGTCATTTCACCAGCAAAACTGGCCTAACACACAGAAACTTTATTTTAGGGCTACCTGATGCCTGAAAATTTGACATCATCTGCAGGCTGCAACGTGTATTTTGGTCCATTTTTTTTTTGGTGGTGAGGAGTCAACACTGCAGATCCAATTAAATATGAATGTATAGAGCAGGGAATATAAATATGTACACAAGTCTTGGCATTGATCTGATTTTTAACAAGTTTACTAAATGACAGTCACTGGTTTGACAATACTGAATGAAAAATACTGATTTTACAGATTTTACAGGAAGGTTAAGGTATGCTGCCGCCAAGCAGTGTCACAAACATAGTCTAAAAAACCCCGGAGTTGGCCACAGTAGAGGCACACACCCTTTGCTCTTGTTTATTGAGAGAGAAAGCTTATATACTGTAGATTTGCTGAAGTTTAATAAATAAGGTCAACTTATAATATATATAAAACAATATAAACATTTATATGCTACATGCGTATCATATAATTTAAAGTAATAATTTATATAGCAAAGAGATGCAGAGCTATGTTCTTCCTATTTTCCTGGACAAGGCACACACACAGGAGGTGTCTATCCGTATCCACCTCCAGCCCACCAGTTTGTTGTTTTCTGAAGTCAGTGCTCTGACATAAGTTTGGGATGTCTTGCATTGCGAGTTCCAGTGCTTGTCATCAATGCCACGGCAGCCATTTTTTACAGGCTTGGCCTCTTTACACCTCGTTTCATAAAAGTATTGTTTAACTGGAGAGTTGCCCGTTTTAATTTCTCCCAGAACAGTCACCTGGTGTCCCCTGATGTCGATGGCGGAGGATTTGTCCGTGACCCACAAGCTTTCACTGTCACAAACGGAGTATTCCCCCCGGTGGCCCCTGTGCTCTGCATACCTCTTCCGCCGGGAGGTTCTGTTCACCACCACGGAATTCCCGATGTAATCCTCCATGAGGTACAGGGGCGGCGGCTCCAGCGGCGTGTTGTCACTCAGAAGGACTCGGGGAGAATTGTAGCGTCTCTGCTGCCTCAAGAGATCTGTATCCACTGAGAAAACTGGCTGGAAGTCTGATTTCACATTTTCCTCTCTGTCTATGTCTTGCTGAGCGTCTGTTTTCTGCACTGTGTTTTGATAGTTTTCCTTAATGTCTACCATCTGCTTAGAAAGCTTGTTTTTTAAAATGTCTGCCTGAATGAGTTTAATAATAAGAGAATTTATCGAATCTTCTGGCAAACTCCTTTGATCCATGTTGGAAGACTGGATGCCACGAAGGTAAGTGAGAAATATCACATAAAACAAGATGGACATCACCTTGTTCACCTGTAAGATCTGCAAAGAAACAGAGAGTCAATGTTAAAACAGTCCAAGAGGGAGGTTTGCTAGAGGCTGTAAACATGAAAATTGGTATTTTTTTAGTTACATCTACGTTACTAAGATATGAGACATATATAGAGGTATGGAAACAGGCTGTGTGTTTCTTTGAAGATTCTATTTGTTATAATTTATAATGAATGCGAACTCTCTTCTGAATTTTTTTTTCAATATTTCATCTATATTTTAGGCCGTGCTTTTCCCCTTTCCATGCATAGTGGCATATATATCAGTTAAGCCCTTTCTCTGCAGAGGTAGGTAGTTCTTGGGATAGCATGGCCTGGGCTTGGCAGCAGAGAGAGGCCAAGTTACTTCCACAGAGGTTATTCCACAGAGAAGTTTAGTTTCAAACTTGCAGGATCATGCACAGTAGAAAACTGTCTCACTATGTAAAATGAAAAAGTTCTGACTTTGCTAACTGTTGTCAGGTTTTGTGTGCTGAGATCTCTCAGACCCATCTAATTCATATTTATCAAGTGGCTTCTGTTTAATGTTACCATAAGAAGGAAATAAATCCTGTGTTTCAATAGTGCTTTTGTTTTCTTTCTTTCTCTAGTAAGGGAAAGGGTTCCTGAAGGAAAATGATGCAGTCAAATCAGAAAGTGATTATTAGGCCTCTATAATACAAGTGGGGAATTCAGAAGGACCCAGTGACCCAACTCCTATTTTGTTTTCAGGACTGGGGATCTTTTCTTGGTGGTTTTTAAAGAAGTTGCATTTATATAAGGTGAAACAAAACTGACATCAATTAGAAATATTCAAGGACAGATTGAGGACATCCCTCTCCCCACCATCTCCGAAAACTCAAAAATCTTGTTCAATGATTCAGTATTTTGAAAACCATTTCTAAAAGTGTGCTGCTTCTTGGTACTTTGCCATGTGCTGCTCTATATGGCTTCCTGTGGTCTCCTTCTAATTCTACCTTCTGTCCATATTCTAGAAGCTCATTTGGCACTTCTTTTTTAAGCCTTTCTGTCGTCTTGTTTGTGTAGCTGAGAGCCAGGAGCAACTGTCCAGGGAGGACAGATTTTTTTTTTTTCCTTGTATATTTGGACACCTCTATATTTGGTATTATCATTAATATTTAAATTAAATCAATTTTCAATGTAAAATCCTAAGTCATGGATGTGAACCATTCACTAAAGTTCATACCTGTTTATAAATTTGCTGCACAAGTAGTGGATTGAAGGAGAAAATACAAAACTCCTCTTAGAGCACCCTCATAGTCTGTGATAAACCCTGACTGTAATACTCCTTCAAATTACTCAGGAAAGCCTTGAATTTGATTTTCCTGCTCTGCAAACACATCCACCACGTGTCAGAGACCTCTGGCATTCTGGGATGAAGGCATGAGTCACAGACCATGGGACAGATGGAGTTGGGAGGATCCTCAGGACATCATGTAGGCCAATCTCACTGCTCACAGGAGTATCAGCTAGGGCAGCTTGCAGAGAGCTCTGCCTACTCAGGTCTGGAATATCTCTATGGATGGAGACTCCACAACCTCTAGACAAGCCATTCCAGTGTTTCACCACCCTTAAACTTAACAAAAAATACATTTCATGTATCAGCAGTGTTTCCTATATTTCAGTTTTTTCCCATTGCCTTCTGTCCTATCATGGACATGCCTGAGTAGAGCCTGGCTCCATCTTTATTAATCCCTCCTGTGAGGTATTTCTGCACTTCAGTAAAATCCCCCTGGAACTTCTCTTCTGCAGCATGAACAGCCCCAGCTCTGTCAGCCTCTCCTCTTGGTACAGTTGTCCTAATCCTTAATAATTTTCATGGATTTGCTCCTGTACTAAGGAGCCCAGAACTGAACACAGCACTCCAGATGTGCCTCACCAGTGCTGAGATAAGGGGAAGGATTCCCCTCCCTCCTGAACAGAAAATTTTCCACTTAAAAAAAAAAAAAAATCACCATTTTCTGCTTAAGAGGGTGAGCCATTTTCTGTTTCAGAAGGCAAAGGAAAAAAAGAAGAAAAAAAATCTTTAGCTGAAGAACCTTCTATCCACTCTAAACAAAACTCCTTTTTGCAAGATTGAGTCCCCACTTTGCAGTTTGGAACAGCAGCAATATCAGAGCTACCCTCTGTGGATGTGTGAGCTGTCCTTTTATGGACAAGAAATGTGTTTTCTCCATTCTCAGTTTGTCACAGTGTGACTTCACCTAAATCTAGACTGTTAGCCTGCAGTAACGTTTTGCTTTTGAGGGGGGAAAAAATCGAAGATGTTCAGTTACCATACAATTACTGTCATACCTGAATAAATACTAACTTAATGTAGATGGATCTCAGAGCCCAGACCTTTTTGTCTGTGCAGCTGCTGTGCAATTTTGCCTTCCCTCAGCATAGGATTTTCTTTTAAAAACAGTAAAAATATTATTAAACAGATGTCATTGAGCAGATTTCTTGCAGCACCCAGAATCCACACATGGGATGACACACAAGCCCACAGCATGGTGAGCAAAGTTCTGATATGGCTCAGCCCAAAAGCCAGAAGCATTATTCATGCCAACATGCAGCTGCATGCAATCCCTGCTCTGCTCAGTCTCAAAATTAAGTGGCACTAGTAAAACACACAAGTTGGAGTGTGATGAGGGGGGAAAAATAAGGCTGGAGTTCCTCCAGGCTCTCCTCAATGTCATGCTGCACACAGAAAGGAAGGGCTGGGGACCTGAGAGCCGGAGAAGCTAAAATGAGCTGGTTTTCTTCTCCGTGGAGGAACCTCATTAATGGGAAAAATGTTGAAAAGTGTTTTCCTGAACTTCATGTGAAACGTATTATGGATTTGGTGGGAAAGATGCTAACTTTGAAATTCAACTTGTAGTTTGATTTATTTTGCAGATTATTTGCTGCAAAAGTAAAAAGGTTTTAGAACAAATATTTATATTTTTCTGGGTGCAAAACTTTGACAAAACCACAAGGATTGGTGAGATTACAGTTTTCAGGGAGTTCCTCCAACCTAGCAGGTTCATAAGTGCTGTTCAGAAGTTCCAGTCCATGACTAAAAATTGTCAGGCTGTCGATGAAGTCCAGCACCTCAGAGTATGTCTACAGCACTCTTTTAGATAGGAGAAATGAGTGTTATTGGAAAACTCCAGCTGGTTTATGGCCTTGTCTGTAATGTGGTTATAAGACACATTAAAAGTATATTTGTTTGCAGGTCTGGGGAGTATTGCATTTGATGAATGGCTCTTTGCCCAAAATGGAACGTTGTGCCTGTCTGAACTGCAGATAATTTGAGATTTATTTGGCATGTGTGTTGTTAAATCTGTAAAAAGGAGAGGAAAATGTAAAACATTAAAATGTCTATCTTTTCATATTTTCAAAGCAAATAATTCTGGTGTTTCTGGCCATGCCTCCAGAAATTCCACAATGCAAATCACAAAGCAGAACAAATGCTTTCTCAGTGCAGACCAGTGAGTAAATTATCTATAGAGGGGACTCAGACTGGGGGCATGATTTCAGCATATGTGTCCTGTCTGAGGGAATACTGACTCAAATTCCAGGTTCCTGGAGGGCCTAGGATTCTGTGAACCTCAGCAGAAGCTACTTCAGCACAAGCAGCTCTTTCTCTGGCCTTTTGGAGAATGGTCTAAAAATCTCCCAAGAATTAAATCCTTCATGTGACCTTTTCTGCTCTTTCATTGGGATTTTTTTGTTTTGTTTTGTTTTGTTTTGTTTTTCAATTCAGATTGTTAGATTGTTCATTACAAGTGGAAAGATTTTGCCCAAGTGAAATTATTTTCCTTGGTTAGGTGATGCTAGTGAGATACTTTTGTTGTTCTTCATGGTTCTTCTTGGAATTTTCCACATGTAAATTCCTAACAAAATTTCATTTTGGCTGTGTTTGTGGCCGGTTTGCACTAAGCAAATTTGACTTGGAGACTGCTGACATTTGTGGCTCAGAGAGGAAAAGCAAAGAACACGGAAAACAAAAGCTCGTGCATTGCAAATCTGATTGGTCTCCCAACTGTGGCTTTACTCTATTTTTTTTTGTTTGTATTCCTGCCTATCACTGCAGTTTTAACAGGCTATTCATTCTGTCTGAGCTAGGTGGCTCAAGGTCTACATTTAAGGAGAAGTTAATAAACTTACCTCTTCCTTCCATTGATATATTCAATCCCTAATAAACTCTGGCAAACCATTTGCTGCTCTTTTCAGACTCACCACTTTATGTAGTAGTGAAAAATTTTGTTCAGTTTTGTTTGTGGTGATTTATTCTGGTCAGTTTCTGAACATTCCACACAGGGGAAGAGCGAGACATCATTTAAAAAGTTCTGCAGAAAGCATGAAATCCTAGTACTGTGAGAGACTGCCCAAGTATTTACTTGTAAGTCATTGCTAAGAGGAAGTGGAATAGAAGGAAAAGTGACTGGTGAGTTTTACATTCAGAATTGTAATACCCCACATGATTTATGTAAGCCAGCTTGAAGTGTTTGGCACTTCCTTAAAAATTTAGGAGCAGCTTCAGCTCTTCAGACCAAGCAACTAATAATCCTTTGTGGTGCCTGACAGCTTTTCCAAGCTTTTACCAAAGAGGAAAGCATGATTATTGTCACTGTTTGTTGAACACTGCTTCCACAACCTCCCAAGTCATGGATTGCCCTGTTGATTCCCTCTTCCTAATAACTATGTTGGGAAGAAATGCAACCCTCTTCCTCTGTGCTTTGAGGGACATGGGTAAGATACAGAACAAGAAAAGAATTCTGAATGTTCAAGAAGGTGGGAAAGTGACATAACTGTGTCTGAAAATTTGCACTGTATTTCAGAATGGTAATCAACTGTTTGTACAAGATGGATTTATGAAGGTAGGTTGCTGGAGAGTGCTGAATGTCCCTGCAGACACCCTCCTGAATGCTTTTGCTTCTGAGGATATGGAAATTTCAACAGAGACAGATTGAAACTAAAGCTTTCACAAGAGCCAGGCCCTCTGAGAAGCTGAAGAATTCAGAG